GCCATGAGCATCCGTCCAGTCATGTATTTGCTTAACCCGTAGAGTGAACAGGACTGAGAAGGGCTGTAAACTGAGCTCTGATGGATGATGCGTCTGTTGAGATTAGTCAGTTCTGACCAGCCCTTTGTGATGAGCCTACATGCTAAAGCTGCTCTAGGAAAGAAGTCTATTTAAAAATGTCACTTTGGGGCTGGTGAGATGGCTCAGTGGTTAAGAGCACTGACTGCTCTTCCAGAGGTCATGAGTTCAAATCCCAGCAACCACATGGTGGCTCACAACCATCTGTAATGATATCTGATGCCCTCTTGTGGGGTGTCTGAAGACAGCTACAGTGTACTTATATATAATAAATAAATAAAAAAAAATTTTAAAAAAAAAATGTCACTTTGTTACATGGAAGATTGATCATGTGAGAACGCCAAGCTAAAGGAAAGTACTCCACCAGCTTTAATATCAGAAGTCACTTTTAGAGCACCGCACATTACCAGGGACAAAGACCAGTAAGTGAAATTAAGTTATAGTTAAGTTATATGGCTAAGGAAACCTGGGAATTTCAGGGCTGGTCTAATAGTTCTAGTCTGAAAATTCACAGTGTGAGTAAAAACTTGACTGTAGCCAAATGAAACTGGGGAAATCGCTAACAGTTGTACCTTTTCTTTATGAACTTTTCTCCTGCTCAGTAAGTGCTGCGTGTTTTTCTTCCCATCCCATGGGTATGTTCTGAGGTATGACAAAAGCAAGGCTTAGAGGCAGTGCAGTCAGAATCACCATTCACCATACAACCAAAGTCTGTGAAAACTCTGGACAAGTATCTGTGGAATGAAAGCTCCATTACTCTCCGTTTGGGGCATATTTCTGTAGGTTTGCTGCATCTGCATTTGCTGTGGTAAAAGAATACAGAGGGCTCCTATCACTAAAATTCAGTAACTGTATTATTTATTAGTAACCGTATCACTAATGTGCAAGGGTGGCTGAACCATCAGGGCACACACTTGTCTAAAAACCATACTTGGTTTGGAGTTTGGATAGAACAGCCTGAAATAAGCTGTATTCCTAGCTGGATTATTTCACAGACATTTGAATATGTTCAGTGTTTTCCTTGGGGAAACTCTTAAAAAATAAAAGAAAATCGTTCAGTTATTTTCCTGGAACCGTATCAGAATTTGTTATCTGGCTTAACACATCTGACCTTGCACTCTTCAGAGGAAGTGAATGCATGTTCTCTAAGTAATCCCAGGGTACGTCTGCAGTGCCGGAACAGTCAGATCAAATTCCAGTGTTCTTCCCCTGACAGAAATACATTTAAGATGAAAAGTGCACAATGACAGCATCCACCCTTTCTAGTCAGTAGTGGAGACCATCGAGGATGGAGAAGGAAGTTGGTGGTGATGGTGGAGATTGCCAAAATTGCAGTGTTGTAGAGTGTGGAAGGGTTTGGTGAGTGGCGTCTGGTTGTCTTTCTGTGGTAGCTATACTTTGTCAATTCTGTCATGTAAACAAACATGAGTAATAGTGGGTAGTGTGTCCTAGGCACAGAACATCATTGTTATCAGAATACATTAGTCCCACAATTTGGGGACAGTACACCATTAAAAATAAGGGTTCACTTGCTTCAGATACTGAGAAGTAGGAGATAGGAGTCTACATTCCTTAGCTGTACCCTTAGTGAGTTGAGCCACACTGTCCTTTGGCCAGATAAGCCCAGCCCAGAACTAAGACACTGAGGTTCTGTGGCCTTGGTCCTAAGTCATACTCTTGAATCTCAGTCTACTCACATTCCAGGCCAGTCACTCTCTGTCCATCCTGAGCTGTTTGAGTGGCATTCCAGCCTCTGCCTCAGTTGTCAGTTAGAGATGACTGAAACTTGCTGTGCTGCCTGGGGCGGAGAGGCACCAGGAACCCCTGCTGTCAGCAAGTTAGATGGCCTCTTGATAATTTTCTAGGCTTTGGTTCTACTTTAAAATATTTTTACATATTTCAGATGTTTTCATAGATTCATTTTAGTTTTAAGACTCATACAAATAATCAGGAAATTCATTGATTCTTTTGAAGTGAAAGCAAGGACATGATTTTTTTTTTTCCTGACTTGAATTTAACACTGGGCCTTTTAGTGGTGAAAAGTGTTTTCCACCCCGCAGGTGTGGACCATTTAATAGTGATTCTCAGCCTTCCTAATCCCAGGACCCGTTAATATGTAGTTTCTCCTGTTGTAGCAATTCCTCCAGCCATAAAATTATTTTTGTTGCTATTTCATAACTGCAATGTTGCTACTGTTCTGAATCATAACACAAATATCTGGTATTTCCGATGGTCCTAGGTGACCCTGTGAAAGGGTCACTCAATTCTGAGGGGGTTAAGACCTACAGGATGAGGAACCACTGCTTTAGTAGGTCAAAGCTGGTGTAGCAGGTCAGGAGTCTGCATGACAGCATGTGGAGACACACAGTATTAAATGTATTTCTTCATTTAAAGCAACAGGAAAATATGCAGCTGCTGGCCTAGTAGGTATGGGTGTTCTGCCTAATCACCGCTTCGAGATAGGCTGTTCTGAACACATAGGTGATGGCAAATTCTATCTAGTTGGGTTAAATTTATCACTCCTTGAAATGTAAAACACTTGAGAATGTTCACTGCAGCAGACTGGAGACATCCTTTTAACTGGGGTTTCTGGTGCACATCATCTGCTTGGAGAGGAGGGAGTGCTGAACTCCAACACATATTTTACAGCATTCTTGGCACACCACTGTAGACTTGTTGGCTATGCCCTCCCTCCCCCGACACAAGATTTTGAAAAAAAGACAGCTCTGTTTTAATTGCTTTCATCATCACTGCGTGTGCAAAAGTCCTATTTCCATCAATTATTATGTATTTTGTTAACTTTAAACCATTTTTAATGGTGGAAAGGACAAGAAACAATTTCTGTATTTTATTGAAAGTTAAACAGGCTTATAAAGACATCTAAAAAATTACTCTGAACACTCTGCTTGTACTCTTTGGTGACATTGATTTTAAAGTAACAGTCTCAAGTTGACTGATAGTCTGCAGAGGAATCTGTGAACTGAGGTGGTCACAGTCACATGTGATTTGTCAGCAGGTGATTCTCAGCTTTTAGAATTCCATTACACTTCCAATCACAGCTCTCAATTCTGCATATCAAAAATAGCATAATCTGAAATATGTAATTATCTATCAAAGGATTGTTTTTAAATATTGAAACACTTCCAGGAATCACAAGCTAGTTTCAAATGTTAGATACTGTTTTAGGATAGTTGTTTTTGCCTCTAAGGGACAATGTTAATGATTATTCAAAAGTTACTTATATTTTAGATGTTTATTTTCACACTGAAGGTTTTTGTGGCCTTATGATTTTAGATACGGTTATTTCGGGGGGGAGGAGAATTTTATGGTAGCTTTGGAAGGAAATTGTATTTTTTTTATTATATAAGAGCCTGTTGTACTGTAAAAATCAGTGGGTGTATTTCACACCCATGTTTACATTTACAAATGCTCCATATTTTTTTATATTAATCCACTATGCCTAGTTTTCATGCGTGAATGAAATCGGGGTCGGAAATAAAGTGTAGTGTTGACTGAAAGCTAAACTTTGTATGAGACATGTTTGTTCAGGAAGCAGAATTTATAGTATCCAACTCAAAAGTGGACTAGTGTGTAGTACTAATGTGGCTCGTTAGAGAGTAAAACTCCAGCAGAAGCCACTGCTGCTTCACTACCGTCAAAGGCTTGATAGTTGCTGCTTTGTGGAAATGAAAGTGCTCTTTGGTAAGTTGAAGTTACTCTATTGCTTTCAGTTACTGTGCGCTTGCTTACCACCTCCCGCTTGCCTCATACTACTCAGCTGTTGTAATGTTTAATCTGTTCTAGTGAATGAAATCCGTAGTACATGTTAGTTAATAACATGGTGGGGATTCTGTTACCACCATCCATGTCCACAGTGGTTAGGTTCAAACCCACAAGTGTCCGTTTTAACGTTTTCTTTAAGTTCTATACTATCCCAAACGATGATAATGAATAGCTCCTTTAAAGCAGAAAACCCCATTATTTTAAGTGGATGCATTTATCATCCTATTAAAAAGAGACTCACTGGATCTCATTGTTACTGAATGCTGAACATCACCTTGGGAGCAACAGGTAAATTTAGAAGTAAATGTGATGACAAAACATAACAACTAAATGTTATGTTCTATTTTGTTAATGACTTCTATACTCAGTTAAAAATCATCTGTGAGAAAGTTAAGATGCAAACAGTATATTGTTACTAAAACTTGAATACTCAGTTGCTGAAGAAATTTCTGAAACAAAGTAATCTGTTGCTAAGATACTAAGTTATTTCTGCAGTAAACCATTGGCTTTTTGTTTCTTCCTTTTTATTATGAGAGAGAAATAAGATTTTGGAGGAGAAGTCACACAGCCCAATTTCAATGGAATATAGAATTAAACATCACCAAATCTAGCTTTAGTTCCTTGCCTGAAAGATGACCAGTGGTCTGGGACATCTTACTATCCATTAACGTTTTCTCAAAATCCTGCTCCTGCTCATAGAGACTTTAGCAGCTTGTAATGTTTGTAAGTCAGCAAAGCTGACTACATCTTTACATTTATATTTACTTTGAGTGATTACTGTAAATACATGGTGACATTCTCTTAATATGATTTATTACGGTATGTATTTAAGTACTGCATAATTGTATGTTCAAATGGAAAGTCCTTTGTCTGAGCTTATAAATTATATTACTTTGAATTGCATTAGTCATTGTTGCTTTTCACCTAACTGGACTTCTCTTGGCTCCTTTGCTTATGGTATTATGAGTAGATGTACTAAGAACCATGTTGTCTGCTGTGTTCTTTGAAAATGAAGAACTGCCTCTGTGAATATGTGCTGTTGTCCTGCATTGCTCTAGGTCTGTGTATAGATGCTGATTACATGTATGCTTGAGGTGGGAGAATAATCCAGTTGTTGTTTTTGTTTTTTTATTTTTTAGGTGATGGATGTGGACACACTGTACTAGGCCCTGAAAGTGGAACCCTTACATCTATCAACTACCCCCATACCTATCCTAACAGCACTGTGTGTAAATGGGAGATTCGAGTAAAGACAGGAGAAAGAATTCGCATCAAATTCGGTGACTTTGACATTGAAGATTCTGATTATTGTCACCTTAATTACCTGAAAATCTATAATGGAGTTGGAGTCAGCAGGACGGAAATAGGTAGGGCATTAATGCATGTTCTATATTGTTCTCTTAAGCTTTAAAGCTGAAGCAGTTTTTGTTACTTAATAGTAACTAACTGGTACATATTTCATTGTAGACAATGTAGAAATCTCAAATTGAATCTTTTTTTTTTTTTTATGAAGAGGGGATTGTAGTCTGCTTAAAAGCAATGCAAGATGCACTTGGTTAAACTTTTGCAAGATGCACATGGTTACATTTGAGCAAAATGCATATGTTTACCCTCCTACAAGATGCACATGGCTACCTTTGCGAGAGGTGCACATGCTACTCTCGTGTAAGACACACTTGGTTACTTTCATGCAGGATGCCACTATACTGCTTCTAAGAAGGTAGAAGTAAATTCTCTTATGTTTATGTTTCCTTTGATCACTTTATTTATAGTCAGAGGATTTGGATATAATTCATGCATGGTCAGAAGGCAATGTAGTATGCTGATCATGGCTTTGGAATCCAAACTGCTCTGGATTAAAGCCTAAATCGAGTACCTGATCACTGTTTTCTTGTGTGTGTGCGTGTGTGTGTGTGTGTGTGTGTGTGTGTGGAACCTGGAACAGTGTGTGACTGCACAGTAGGTGCAGAAAACATAATGGTGACTGTATCCTAGTGTAAGAGCAGTGGTTCTCAGTTAGAACTGTGTGACAGTTACCTGGGAGACTTAAAAACGCACTGTAGACCTGCTTTCCATCCGAAACCAACAGAGTGAAGTTGATGGTGTGAGACAGAAGCCTTGGAGTTATAAAAGGTTTCCAGGAAAGTCTACTTTGCCACCAAGATTTAGAAGCTTTGGCTTACAGATCACTACCATCCTCCTACAAAAGGCTGTAAGGTTTTAGTGAACTGACACAAAGTAAAAACCACTCGACTTCTCTGAGTGTATTTGGAAGCATATATTGGGATCAACATGTAACATTTTTTAGAATTAGAGTAGGTATGTCTTGTTCTTTGACTATCCAGTTGTGGGTAGTCATCCTTTGACTCCTCATCCCTAGCTGAGTCTTTCATCCTAGCCCATTTCCTGCTACTGATTGATAACCTCTGTGGTACTCAGAAATTCTTGGTTAGCCTGATAGCTCGAGTAGCTCCTCCATACCATCACCATATGGTGCTGGGTAAGATGGTCAGAACTTAGACCACCGGAAAGCATGGACACCGTTGTCCTGTAGTGCTAGTAGAAGATGTGTGGATAGTGCTTCTGAGGGCTCTCAGGAGTACTCTGTGAGTGTAACTGGAACATCAGTGAAAACGGACACACAGGAGATGAAAAATAAAGTACATATGCTCACTAAGGACTAAGTTAAAAATAGGAGAGATTCTGTCGAAACCAGTGGTCTCATTTCATCCACATAGAATAGTGTGTCAGAGGAAGGAGGAGGAACGGGAAGGAGAAGAGGGCCAAAAGTCATGATTGGGTCCTGGTTATTCTGATTGAAGATTGAGGATGGCTAATTTTAAAAAAAAAAAGATTAAATTGTTTGTTGATTTTTTCAATTTTTTATTTGTTTTTAATAAGGTCTTGACTGAAATACAGCTCTATCACTTCCCCTCTCATATTTTTTTATTGGTTATTTTATTTGTTTATATTTCAAATGTTGTCCCCTTCCCCGTTTCCCCTCTGCAAACCCCCCCATTTTATCCCCTTTCCTATTGCCTCTATGAGGGTGCTTCCCCACCTACCTACTCCCATTCCCACCTTACTACTCTAAACACCATACTTCTCAACAGAGACTCTAAAACCCAGAAGACCTTGGGCAGATGTCATAAAGGCCCTAAGAAAACAAAAATGCCATCCCAGGCTATTATACCCAGCAAAATTCTCAATTACCATAAATGGAGAAACCAGGACATTCCATGACAAAACCAAACGTAAACAATGTATTTTCACAAATCCAGCCCTACAAAGGATAATAGAAGGAAAACTCAAGCAAAAGGAGGAAAACTACACCCAAGGAAAAGCAAGAAATTAATCTTCTTACAATAAACCCAAAAGATGAGACTACACAAACGTAATTCTGCCTCTTTTTCTTTAATCATATATGTATATGCATGCATTAATACATATAAATACAACCTGCTGAGTCTGGGGGATTTTTGTTTGTGTGTTTATGACTTCAGGACTGACCACTCTGCATTGGACACCTAGTAAGGGAGCTTTCTGAGAGATGTTCGTTTTTCTTCTCCCACTAGTATCGTGTTAGTTTCTGTCTGGGGTGGGACCCCTGAATAATTTCTCCCTTTCCACATTAGAATATCCATTGCTGTTGCCATGGTTCTGGTCCTGCTTATGTGGCCACTTCTAGGAGAGGTTGCTTCACTGCATTCATCCTGGTCTTCCAGCTGTTAGAATCTTTATGCCCCTCTTCCGCAATGCAACCTGAGCCATAAGTGCAGGAGCTGTGATATCCATTGGGTCTGGACTCCCCATGATCTGTTCATGTCTACATTGTGGCCAGTTGTCATTTTCTGTGATGGTATCCATTTTCTGTAAAGAGAGGCTTCCTTGGAAAGGGTTGGAAGCCATGCGTAACCTGTGGGTATAAGGATAAGATTTAGAATGTAGTCAGGAACTATGCTTGTCTAGCTAAGTAGCAGTGGTACATTCTCTTCTAAGATCCTTGTACTCACTAGCCCTGGGAAGCTAACTTCCAGTACCAGGTATGATTTCCCTCCTGTGCTGTGGGCTGTAAGTTCAATTAGACTCACAGGTGTGTAAGTGCTACTTGTTCCATCTTTATGCATTTCTTGCCGTGCTTGCAATTGTCATGGTTCATAGGTGTTGTAGCAGGATAGGACAATATATTTGACAATTTTTATGACAGGTTACATAGTATTTTCTGGAACCATGGACACTATATCACAGGAAAGAAGCTTTTAGGTCAGATTTGGCTTGAATTATCCAAGTCCTAGGTCCTAAGTGTATGATGTTTAAAAGATATTTTAAAGCTTATTAGAGAAATTTAGGAGGCATTGATCATTCACTCATAATAAAGAATGATTGTTTTAGGTGTGAAAATGGTTTTAAAGTATTTCTTTAAGAAAAGCGATAAAGAAAAGGATAAGGGTCATGTCGGAGCTAACATTCTAATATTTGGGTGTATTTTTGGAAGTTTTCAGGATAACGTTTTTAATAAGACAGTGAATTCTGTATTTGGAAAATGAACCATAGCCTTGTGACCAGGGAAGAACAAGAGGCATGGGAGAGATTGGGGGCATGGGTTTGACATTGCTCTGTCTAGCCAGCATCTATGAGCTCCTTCTTACCAGCCATGAACCTGCCCAGGTTTCAGTCTTCTTCTCTACTTTTTTTTTTTTTTTTAATGGTTAAGGACTGCTTTATTGGTGGCAGTTAATACATATCAATAAGTGTTGATCCCCAAAGAAGAGCTCAGTTACTCATCAGATTCCTGGTCCATCGAGCACTGATTGAAACTGAACCATGTGACGACTGGGATGATGACATCAGTTCTGCTTCTTGGGAAATGCAGCCATAGCTAACAGATAGATGGCATCGGCTGTTCCACCAACTGTCAGAGCCATTGTGGCTCTGTAGAGAAGGGCATCAGATGCCCTGCCTTTCAGATGAACTGGCATCCCATTATCCTCCTGAAACAGCTTTTGTTTCTCTGGAACTTTGTTTTCAAAATGCCTTTGTGAAGTGGTGCTGATGGTCCTCTGGGCAATCTGACATAGGGCCAGCAGATTCTGCAACATCTTGGCTCAGTTGTTGCTCACCAACTGCGACTACTGAACACCAAAAATCGAAAACCACCAGACCGTCTTCTCTACTTTTAAAGACGTGGAACGGAATCATATTTGGCCCTGCTGGCATGTGATATGTGTTTAATGGTCTCAGCTACCTTATATCTCCCATTCTTTCTGCCTTTTTCTCCCCACCTCCACCCTTTGCACCTTGTACAAAGCTGCAGGAAGGTCAAAGGGCCAAGTAATGATGGCTTCTGCTGAACCTCAGCTTGAGTGCCCCATTGCCTCATAGCACTTGTCACAGCATACCTGCACTTGTCCCCCATTGACACACGTCTCTGTTATACATCGCAGAGACAGAGACGTGATGATCCTTTCAAAATAAGCATTTAACATTCTGATCGGTGTAGCTCTGCATTGGATTATAGAAGAAATGCATAGGGGCTTCCAGACTCCAATGATGGAGGTTTTGAGTTCTTTATCTTTTCTAGTCTTGACTCACTGCCCCTTCAGAACAGAGGCAGGCCCAAATACACTCCATCCATTTTGGTATTGAAAATTAGGTTTGGGGTTTTATAAGTGTTAATTTTATTTTCCCTAAGAAGTAGTATTGGGTAGAGGAAACACATAGAATGGTTTCTAGAGGAAGGCTGTTTTAAGTCCTGAACTCCTTAGGATGTGTTTAACTGGCAAGGTATCGGTTTCCTTTGCAGCTGGACAGTGAACTCTTGTTCTCCTTATGTGCTGTTAGCAACGTCATTTTTTATAACTGACTTCTGAGCTGCTAAACTGTGAAGACGGTTTTGGAATAACTCACTGTAGTATGACTATGAATAGAGACATTGATGGATAAGTGGCATGCTTAATGATAGAGTTTAAAATGGCTTTCCAGATCTGAAGTCTGTCCTCACTTAGGCAGACTGTATTAAAATAAGAAAAAAATTATTTTTTTAATCCTTAATGTAAGGCACAGAATATTTTAGATTTATCTTGCCCAGATTTTACAATTCATTATTTCTTCAAGAAATCTTTTGTTCTTTTAATGTACAATTAAATTAGAAATCAGAATCTTTTAAGTTCAGGGATGGTGGGCTGCCATATTCTCTGAATGCAGAATTCATAAATTTATGTGCGGCCATGCACAGAGCTGCATGTACATGCATAAATACTTGTATGTATACATGTTTTTATATTTCTTTAGCAATATTAAAAATGTTGAGTTCATACTGATATTTTAATCATTATCCAATATTTATAATATGATTCATTTCATTCTT